GGGGAGTTCATTCCAAAGGGCCGGAGCTGCCACAGAGAAGGCCCTCCCCCGGGTAGTAGCCAGATAGCATTGGCAGCTACATGGACAAACCTTTTTTAGAATGAATACAAGTGATACACGGAATGCATCAAACAACTGACAGCTCCACAAATCGAGAGGTGATTGACAGCTTACAGAGTTTTTGCACAGTAGATTGATGGCTCAATTTGGGGAATTTGGGGAATTTTTTTGAGCACATGAGCAAATAAATGGTCCCTTAATGGCTTCCCAACATCATACCTCCCATCCATTGCCTGCTCTGGATTTACATATTATATCTGGAGCTACCAAAGAGGATCCTAAAATTATTTTCACATAACGTTTCTCAACTTTGGGCACTTTAAGATGGGCAGACTTCAACTCAGCATCCTGGGAGTTGTAGGCTGCCCATCATAAAAGGGCCAAGATTTGAGACACGCTGCTTTAAGGTCTCCGAAACTCCTAGAAACTCACATTCATCGACTTACTTGTTAATTAATCCATGGGATCCATTGGGATAAACCAGGTACAACGAAGGGACCGAAGTAATACCAAGTTTTTCAAGTAAAGCGGTCTCAGAATTTAGAACCCGTTTGATAGCCATGTTTTCATACTGACCCAGGTCCAAGATTACCTGGAGGGGAAAACATACTGAGTTACCAGTGAGGCTGTGTGTTTAGTCACTACTGCAAACAAAGGCAAAGTTTGCTCAGGCCCAGCAAACAGGTTGCGGCCAGCTTCACAAAGATTGGCACTTTGGAGACCAGGAGGGGAAAAAATGAAGAACACTCACAGGCTTAGCTGAGAGATAATTCCACTACGTTTAAATGGGATTTGTTTGTGAAATAACAGCCTAGGCCTGCAGTGCGTTGCTGCCGATATTATTTTTGGCCAAGTGATGAAGATGCATTGGAAGTTGAAGTCCACAAGTCTTCAAGTGACTAAGGCTGGACACCCTGCTACAGGGCTTCCTGCTTGAGCAGGGAGTTGGACTAGAAGACCTCCAAGGTCCCTTCTGACTCTCATTATTTTGTCTTCCTTCCATGCTTACAAGTTAAAGTCGGAAGGCTGGATGAGGGTTCATTCCAATCAGAACTAGATACAGAGCAATAGCAGTAGCAGTTAGACTTATATACCGCTTCGTAGGGCTTTCAGCCCTCTCTAAGCGGTTTACAGAGTCAGCATATCGCCCCCACAGTCTGGGTCCTCATNAAATAGTTACAAAATGTGAGGGAGTATGCTCTAAATACCTCCTGATTTTTTAAAAATAATGGTTCCAGTACATTAGAAGCTCCATCATTGTGGAAGGCGTTGAGGCATCTGGTAAGGAAGTATCGCTGAAAGGATGACCCCGGGGGTGAGATATTGGAAGGCTGCTATCATGTCACCCCTGGCAAGGGCGGAGTCATCTGCTCAGTCAATATTAAAGCAGCAGGGGTGACATTTATGTTCCTCTCTCCCTGCCAGCCACTTTCCACCTGAAGGGGCATTCACCCTCTTTTTCTCTTACCTGTGTTGAGCAAGGCTCTGGGCTGGGCTGCTGCTCGGACTGTTAAGGTGTGGAAGAGCTTCCAGAAGGAACAGGTGTAACCTCTCAGCCCCACCTGGCTGCCCTGACATGCGACCCACTGGAGACGGCTGGGCAGAAACTGGCCAGAGATCTAGAAAGGAGGGGGAAAAAAACCAGCATGAGGCCACAGCTCCATGAATTCCATCACAACGATGAGCCAGGCAGAAATCTATTGTGGTACAGCTGACAGCCAGGGGGGAATTTTAGAAGTTCCTGTCTTAGACTGACATCTTGAGGGATTCATCTAACTTTTAAAAGAAGGGGAAGAGGAAGGGTGAAGGGAAAAAGGCGGGGTAGGAGGGGAGAGAAAGAAGAAAGAAAAAGGAGGGAGGGAGGAAGAAAGGGAAGAAATTCCCGGGTCCACTGAGGTCGTAAATCGAGGATTACACACAGCTCTTCTGACCAAGGGACTCACCACCATCGTAAAGTGAATCCATTCTTCGGAATGGGTTGGTTTTCATTTAGAACCCATAACGGCAAAAAAAAATTGCAAATTGTGGTCACGTGGCCACAGATGCGATTGCGAGTGTGTGTCAGTCGTAACTTCAAGGACGGATCGTAAACAAGTCCGTCTTAACTCTGAATGGTCCTTAAGCAACTGGTTGTATGTTGAGGACAGCCTGTAATTCTATTCTCCTCCTTCCTTCTTCCCATCTTCCTCCTTCCCTCCCTCCCTTCCTTTTCCTCCCTCTCTCTTTCCCTCCCTCTTTCTTTCCTCCGCCTGTTTTTTTCCCCTTCTTTTGTTTACTAAATCTACGTCCCTAACCAAAAACCTAGCGGTAGCTTACATGCATTTT